ATCCCAGCTGCTGTTGGGTGGGTTCAGGTTGGCTGTGGCGGCTTTGGGTTTGGTTGCGAACACAAATCCCAAATCAGCCCAAAACTCATCTAATGACAACCTGAAGCAACTCTATGCCACAGCTAAAGCAGCTGCACACCTGGCGCAAATCAGCTAGCCAACCCAAACCGCATTGTAATTAAGCCAGCCCCGGGCAAGTCCCAACTGCCACCAAATCAGAGCCAATCTGCAGCCCTAGGTGCAAGGAAGGCTGGCGATGCTGATAACGCAGCCAGCCAGAACCAACCAGCAACACTCCAACTGTCCTCTAGCGGTGTTACACTCCATGGAGTTTCATCTCATTCCACTATTCTGTGTTAAAGTTCATTCTTGCCTTCGGCAATTCGGGAATCGGGCCAGAGTTCTGTGACAACGCGCAAGTGTACTGCAGCAAGCAAACGGGCTTGGGTCCGTCTTGGCAGCTACTATCTGTATATTTGAAGATACTATACACACAATATTGCCATCTATCACCAATACTCCATGCAATCTAGGGGCTTCTATCGCAGGTTCTTGTTGTGCACTCTCAAGACCGGCAACTCAAATGATGTGTTAGGTGGATGTCGTCGTCGTGCAAGCAATATGGTGTTCCTTTTTTGAACATATATCAAACCAGAACAACTGCGCGGCGTGCACAAACCTCGCTCGCTCTCCCAAGGGGCACTGCGACAACCGACCAACAAACAAATCGATCGACCCGCGCACCAACCGGCCAACCCACAAAACCAACCGACTGACCGACTGGCGGAACAGGCGCACAAGCATCATGAACAAGCAAACAAACAAAAAAACAAACAAACAAACAAACAAACAAACAAGCAAACAAGCAAACAAGCAAACCAAGTAAGCAAGCAAGCTCACATGATGGAACATGTTGCGCAGCATGGAAGAACGAGCAAATACCTCAATTTGAACAACTCCCTGGCTCCATGTCAAAAGGCCCATTGCAAAAATCCATCAAAGTGACCCTGAAACGATCATCCCCGCCCAAAACAAACATGACTTTAAAAGGGACACCTCCCCCGAAAGCAAACATGAGACTCCAACATGACCCATCGTAATTTGGAGACCCCTTCACATGTTCACCTCAAGGAACCAAGGAATTTCATGCCCCCCAAATGGCTGTGAGTCAAAAATAGGTACCCAAAATGGAACCTTAGTAAATGGAGATATGGATTGAAACCTGCGGTCCCCGAGTGGTTTAATTTTTGACCCACACCCAAATGGATGCGACCCAATGGGATTTCGTTCCCTCGAGCTCCCGAGGGCCGGTCCTTGCCATCGAGCAAGTCCAGCTCCTCCTCCGTCAGGATTGGCTTCGAGACGACGCCTTTGATCTTGGCCAGTGCGGTGTAGAAGTCTTCCTGGACCAGTGGAAAGCACCCAGGAAGCACCCCCCCGATTCTGCAATTCTTTACCATAACTTCGAAAGCTGAATTAAGGGGTTCCCAAGTAAAGGACCTTTATCATGCCGGGTGAGCCCGCAACAAAAATAGGCCATTCCTGTGTGGGCTGAGGCAACTCCTGCAATCAAACCCACTGGACAAGTGTGGTGTTGAACGCAGTTGACTGGGACACCCTGCCTCATTGGGGGCTGAAAAAACAAGTGTCCAAGGAGGGCGTGTCCTTTTTTGATGGACCCCAGTTGCAGCCAGTTGCCCTTTCGCTAGAAACAGACTTGGAACCCGTATTTGTCGATTGATTCCATTTTTAGTGAAGAACCAAAGGTAACACGGTTCCACTGAAGAACAGTATTTGGGGCTGAGGAACTCCAACTAATGGACCGACCTGTCAACGGGGGTTCGGTCAAAAGGCCAAAACCACCTCATGAGACATTGAGCCAGAGGAGCTGGGGACAGTGCGCTGTTTTTCTCAGATCTTTTGGTGGGCTGCCCTCAGATCCCCCGCCAAAAGTGACTAACTTGTAGTGGGTTAAACGGAAGCTACCACCAAACACTCAAAGGCTAAAAAGCTAAGGGGATGGCTGGGAGCCACCAAGGCGGCTTTACCCTCGCCAACTTGACACCGCTCAGCCAACACTCCAGCCAGCCGCTCAGCGAGCAATTGGAGCGGATCTTCGGAGGCTTTTTGGGGGCCACTGAGTACCTGTGAGCACTTGTTTGTTTTATGAATGGTGTATGAATGCTAAAGGAGGACCGAACATTGGTACACGGATTCCCCAACTGGCTGTCAAAGGTGGTAGATTGGAAGGACTCGAAACAGATCTGCAAATGGCTTTCCTGACCTGCCAACAGAACTAAGTCACTCCTCTTTGTTGCTGGATTTGCAGTTGAAAGCCCAGCCGAAGCCAAAAAGCGCCGGACTCAAGGCTTTGGGCACAGGCCTTCTCATCGGTCATCCAGTGGTGGATCATCTCGTTGATCTCCTGCCGACTCATCTTATCCATCTTAGCGACCTTTCCGACACCCTCCCACTCGGGCCTCTATGCATTACTTTGTCCCCATAGCTCCCCTTGGAGGTCCAAAAAATAGCTCATGTCCAACATTATGGCTTTCATAGCAACAGGATTCAAGTACCGAAGAAAAGAAGCAACGTACAAAACATGCACCAGATGCTTATCCTATTGCAACCTCCGCTTGTCACGAAACACTCAATGGGGTACCTTGGGCAGCTCTTAATCCCAATCACCACGCGATGTGGGAGGCGTATCAACCTCTCAAACAAGCCCGCAGATCACGGACCCTAGTGCAGCAGCGGTGTGAAATCCAGGCCTTCGTTACAAGCGAAATGCCTGAATTTGTCTGCACAATATATATATATGTATATATATATATGTATGTATATATGTATGTATATATATATATATGTATATGTATATATATATATATATATACACAAACACAATATCACACTTGCATGTAAACAGCCGCTCAAGTCAACCCCAATTCAGGACACCGTAAGGAGTCACCAATCTGAAATCAAGTAGCCCGAGAAACAAGTCCATCATCGATAAGTTAGTTGTCTCATTCACAGTGAAGGACATCCAACAAGGTCATCAGCAGGTAAGCCTAGAGGAATGTTTATGGTTCACCAGGAAGCCGACTCAAACTGAACGGCTTTCTGAGATGGTGCCCTCAGGCCACTATACATATAATATTTGTATATAGACAATAGTACAGGGTATATGGCTGCGGCTCAAAAACATGAACTCCCCCCCAAAAAAAAGAAACGGCGCGCCGCCCAAGTAAATGGAAACCACGACTGGACCTTCCGTTTTCCCGTCTTGAATTTTGAACCACATATATTGCAAAGTTTATCTGAGTTTGGGTCTTCACATCATTCATGATGAACCCTGGAGGAAATTCTTAGTCTTTAAAGAAAGACAGTTTTAAGCCCCCCCCCCAAAAAAAAGAACACACATGGCGCCGCAGCCTTAAGTGAACGGAAACCAGGACCGGACCTTCCGTACCCAGCCACAGCCATCTGACGTCTGAGGCTTGGGGTGTTGGTCCCGTCCTCCCGGACGTGGTGCCCGCAAAGCTTGAGCTCCCGGCCCGGGGCAAAGGACAGGGGGTAGTCCTCAGAGGGAGCGCTTGGTCCTCCATTGGGTCTTGGATTTCCCAGGCACAAGCACAAATGCCGTTTCTCTTTGTTAAACAAACCAGTATAGGACTGGGTCCTCCAGTAGAGAGGTTGGAAGGGTACCAACTTTTTTTCCGTAGTCTATTTTAGTAGGGGAAGCCTGCCCCCAAAAAAGTTGATAAAAGGGCACTACTGGGGGACCTATGTTTTGACCTGGCACCTAGAGAAATTACCCCGAAATCGTCCGAGCATTAACGGATTTTGTTTGGATCTGGTGAACTTTTCGGAGACGAATGCATCGTAAATCCTTGGATCAGTGACTCAGAGGGGCTCGTTGGGGAGGTGCTCAGCGAGGATTCAAACTTACTGACGTGTGCATGTGTGGGCATATGTGTGTACATTCACGCGTATAGTGGGTGTGCGCCTGCATAGTGGTAGCGTATATGGGTTTGTCTCCTTCTAAAACCATCCCGAAACCTGGCACTGACACGCACACACACACTCTATCCGGCTGACCTGAGCGAGCAACCAGCTTGGAGAAGGGTGAAATAGATGGCCCAGGTCCAATTGTCGGCAGGTAAGGAGGACGATACCTGCAACATGGGTAACAAAGCGGCCGTTTGACCCAACTGCAACCTGTGGGTTGCCCTCCTTGACCCCTTGGTCAAGGTTCCAAAAGGATCTTGGATTCCCATAGGTCCTTTGACTTGCTTGTTGGCGTCAAAGTTTGAGACCTTGCGAGCGTTCCAGCAACGGGGACGCAAAACCAAAGCAGCGGCACCTGCACTTTGGGCTCGTAGCGTTTGCTGGAAGAGGCGTCCCAGGAAGATGGGGGATTCGGTTGCGGGTAAGCCTGACCAGGGTTCCATTTCTTGATTAGCCTTAAACCGGGTGGTTGATATCCCCACAAGGGAGAACCCTTGGGTTTAAGTCTAGCTGAAAGTACTGAAAAAAGGGACCCTAAGCGTGATCCGATGATTGTTGTGCCCCTTTTCGTTCTTCCCAAATGAACCACAGGCTATCACTCATCTGGCTCGAACCTCAGGCATTCGATTGAAAGGTTGCCATCCAAAAGAAGATCCCCGCCCCCCTCAGGCATTCGACTGAAAGGTTGCCATCCAAGAGAAGATCCCCGCCCCCTCAGGCATTCAACTAAAAGTTTGCCATCCAAAAGAAGATCCCCGCCCCCAAAGGAGATTCCCGCTCCTCACAAAAAAGTGCTGTTTTCTTCGCGGGTTTCCATCAATCTGCCGGGAGCTTGTGCCCTGATCCCCCCCCCACTCGCCCTTTCCGAAGCTCAGGTACTCAAGACGCGAGCCGGCTGAGCTCCCGGCCGGGAGGCCCAACATCTGCAGACCCTCCTTCATGCCGTTGTAGGTGCGGCTGATCATGGCGCTGATGGCCTCCCGAATTCCGAAACGCCCCACAGGCGTTTAGGGTCCGGGTAGGTGGGGAGCCAGGGACCGCAGGGTGTCGACTTGTCTGGAGGCAAGCCTCTGCCCCTTGCAGAGCCAAAAAACCGCAAAGGGTTGTTCTTTTGTTGGGCCGATTCCTACCTTGGAGCCACACCCAACCTGTGCAACCAAATGGGAGTGCATGCAGTTGTCACTTTGCCCAAAGGAAATTTGACTGAAAGCGACCGCAGAAATGGTGCCACACCTTTTCCGAGAAGGGAACCTGCCATAGATGTAAGATCATCTATGACAGTTTGCCTTTCTTAATGAAGCACCCACCCAGCTCAGGAAGAGTCATCCACGAGGTTGCGGACCATAGCGCTTGTGATACCAAAGTGGCCATTCCCACCACAACTTTCTCACTTTGAAAAGTGTGGCCCTTGGTAGCACGAAGTATCCTCAAAATCCGATTGCTCACAACCATGACGCAAAGGGCTGAGGGCCACGCTTCTCACAGCGCACAAGTGAGTTGCAATCAAAACCTGGCACAAAAACCTTTATCCCAGACCATTCAACACAAAATTACCAGCGGCCGCCTTTGTAACCCTCTTCATTGCCGGGTTTTGAGTTCGACTCAAGTGCCAGGTTCCACCCGCCTGCTCGCACGCATCATGGCCTGGTCGCCTGGAGTCTGCTGCTGGTGCTGGTGCTGCTGCGGGCGGTGGCCTCAGTCTTGGCCACACCCACAAAAACCACGCCCTATGTGTGTTTGTATCTATGCTGAGCGTTTTTTGTGCGGTGAAATGATTTCTGAAGCATTTTGGACGACTTCCAACAAGTGTTCAAATGTTTTGTGGCGAGTCAATTCCGAAGGAAAGTCATGGTAGGCGTTTCATGCTTCTGAACTCGGCTACTTTTTGCTGCCTTCGAATCCATTTCAAGAGCCCTCTGTCGTGGCTTCCCTACAGGAATCGTTACATCTTGAGTCTGAAGAGCCTGAGGGTCGCGGCGACCAGCCCTACCCCCAAGTAACGGGGACGCGAAGCAGGGTTTTCGCACCAAGCACGGAAATACATAGGAGCTATATTACTTGAAATGGACAGGCATGGCGGCCCTGCCAGACGGATGAAGGCCTACCTATATTGGGGATCAAGCAGTGCATCAGGCGAGCAAAACGCAAGCTTTCACATCATGGGATTCTGTGTGACGGGCTAACCGTACATCCTGCTGTTGTAGCAACACACACACACACAACCAAAAAACGTGACTCCTGTGAGTGGACCGTTGGAACATAATTAAATATAGCAGGGCCTGCCTCCCCTCCTCCCTTCTGGTCAACTTGTTTCAGTTTCAATTCAAGTTTGGCCTTTTCGGACGTGAAAAAGGAAGCAGGACACCACCGCCAAACTCAAGCCCAACCCCAAATCTTAAGTCTTGACGAAGTTGGGTGCAGTCTGCGTGATGTTTTGTGCGAGAAAGACGTTCTGCAAGCAGTGCTGCCCCCTTTTTTCGATTTCACCCCAACGCTATCGACCTAATGGTCGCTTTCCGTCGTTATATATAACTTCCCCCCCCCCCCCCCCCGAACGGTAAAGGACCTCCATCATGGCGAGCTCGTGCTCTCCAGATAGGCTTGCGGGTTGAAATCCATTTTGCCCAACCCTGGCAACCAAAAAATTGGCACCCAGCACGTAACACTTCCGCTGAGATCTCCGCGTGGACTTCAGGCTCCCGCCGAAGGACAGGCCCTTGCCAGCCCTGGGCCGGAGTATTTTTGGGTAACCCTAAATGGGTTCTAACAAACTCAGACAGTGGGTTCAATTGGATGCTTCACACATGAACTGGGTTGCTTTCTGCTCCCCTGCTGTAAGTTTAACTTTTAGTGGCTTATTGGAAACCCCACTAGTTGGCAAAAACTTAAAGTCCTAACATCCAAGCAACATGCACCAAAGTGAATGTCCTTTTGGTGCAGGAACCTGTTGATTAGAACCGTAGGCGGCCCCTGACCAATACAGCTTATTTCGGGGCTCAAGCCATTTCTGACAACTCTCCCGAACTCACATGACCCCCCCCAAAAAAAAAGAAGATATCGGGCATGTGTAAAGACAACTCACACACTGTTGTGAATTGCGATATTGGCTTATTTGGAGGACACATCGTGGATGTGTTCGCGCAAACTATCAGGTGTCGTCATTGCTCAAACAAGAAAACAAGACCCTGATGTACATTATTTTCTGCTAGGCTGCTCTTGTTTAGTCCTTAGCGACATTCATCATCATCTACGCCATTGAACAATGTTCGTCACACCATTGATGCCAACAATCAGTGTTATTGTTGTGGTTTTATGTACAAACCTTGTTGTGAAACGCAACCCTACTGGTTGCCACCGTGGGTAGAAAAAGACGCCAACCGCCATTTGCTTTAAAGTCCTTGGCCAAACAAAGACAACATATTTCCAGCAGTCACAGATTCCCTCGGACGCCATGAGAACAGAAAAAGATCAGGAAGCCAGACATCCACGGCGACTTCCGTTTGGATGAGGAGGTTGATCCATGTTTTCCTCCTGGCCCCAAAATGGCCCTGGGGAACTTGTCCCAGGTGAAAGTCGTCTCTTTGGGGGTTTCCCTGATGGTCGCCCCATGTTTATCGGACCTCCCTCCATTTGCTTAAGTCGCCAGGAACTGAACAAAAAATCACAAAAAAACAACTACTAAGTCCCTGTGTTTCCAAAACCCACCCCATGAAGAGCAATATGTCCCCTCCCTCCAGTTGCTTGAGTCGCAAGGGAAAAAAGTGAAACACATATTTCCAGCAGTGAAATCGATTCCATTTTAAACCAGCAGGGGAAAACAAACATATGTCCAGTGGTGAACAATCATAATTCCAGTGATTTCGGGTTGAGACTGTAGGGTGGTGAAACGACTCCCTTCAAAACCAAGGGATCACGGATCCATCAGATCAGCCGGGCTTCCGGGCGCTTGGTCCGCCTTCTTCCAGGTGAACGCCTGCGATCCTGGAGCCCTCGGATTTTTGTCTGAAACCCATCGATCCCTCAAGGACCACCTTGGGTTTTGATCCAACGCGCTGGGTAAGCTGGGGATATATATATATATATATATAATACCCGTTAAAAATGGTGGCTGTATGTCCTTTGTATAGCCTGTATACTCCACCCCTGGGGGTAGCTTCCGTTTGAAGGTGGAAACCATTTTAGATATATCTAAGCCTAACGGAAAAACATGGAGTGTGACCTCAAGGGCTGCCACTTAACATTGATGGATTTCCATGAGAGAGATGACGCCCTTCTTTGGTCTGTGCGCTTTCCAGATCTCCTAAAAGTAACGAACTTCTAGTGGGTGAAATGAAAGCCCGACCACTAAACCAACTAACAGCAAAGACCTCAGGAACCGGATTCGCTGGGAACCAGCGAAGTATGTTGCTTTCTCAGAAAAGCGTTTTGAAGTGACATCCAATTTTAGGCAAACCTCATCAGGTTGGGACCGTGGGCCGGGCTTACACTTGCAAGAAGTGAAACGTTTGGGCTGGGAATTCTTGTTGGGGTGCCCGTGTGCGTGTGCGTGGGTGGGTGGGTGGGTGTGTGTGTGTGTGCGCGTGCGATGCAGCGCGTCACTGGTTCCCTTGATGTTTGGCAAATGGTGATGGTGCAAGAAACTCCCTCTCTCTCTCTCTCTCTTTGCAAGGAAAGCATGCCTTCGCAATGCTTTGGTTGGGGGAGATGTGAAGCAATGTGCAGAATAATCAGGCCTCCTGTAAGTCAGGCATGACAGAAGGCCTGAGAAACCCTGACTGCAAGAACTTATGATTATTAATCAAGGCTTAACGCTTCTTCGACTTCCAATTGGTTAAGACCCCTGAAAAAAACAAAAAAACAGCAGTGCAATCGATTCCCTTTAAACAGGGGAACATAAACAACTATTCTTAAGCAAATGCAAGTCGACCTTTGGGGTGTGTTTGTTCGCTTTGCCCTAGGTCTGAGATCCCATCTGAGGCGTCAGCTGCGGCTGCGGGGAGGAGGCGTAACCAAAGGACTCAGCTTGGATGCACGAAGCGAAGAACGAACGCCACCCGAAATGTACCTCCCACATTGACCATAGACGAAATAGGAATGGAAAGAATGGGGAAGGTATCCTTAGAACTGATGAAAAACACTACCCACCTTGTCCAACCTTAAAAATCATAGAAGCTAAACCAGAACCTGATAGGACATGGAGTACCCAAAACCGCCATGGCAATATTTGGCGTTCCTTAGTGGCTGGCTATAGACACCTAGTGATTCTTCTAGCTGTCCCCATTTTGTCCAGGGCTCTGGCCTTTCAGATGGAGTTCGGGTGTGTTTCATGGGCGGCAAAATTGAGTCACCTTGGAACCAGTGACCCAAAATGGTGCGCCCATTTTGAGCCAAGGACAACCATCCTGTGGGAAACAAGTGCTCATAACACTCAGGGCTCATCACACACCTCATGCACGTGGCCTGGGGAGCCATGGTCACTTCCCTCAGGCAAGCGTTACAGTTAGCCTCAGGAAGGGCTTGTTTTGTAGCCCCTTGGCGGAAGTAGCAGGGTGGTGGCTTGCATTGTGGGGCCCCTTATCTTTGCCTTGACACAAGATGCTCGCACTTTCGGCCAGGCTAGTAAGTGTTTACCAAACTAGGTTGCCCACTCACAAGTTTCACATCTATGCCATGCAAAGAGTGCCTGTTCCGCACTTCTTTGCAAATTCCAACCAATTCTGGGGACCGAACTCTCCGTGGCCGGAATGGGCAAACCGGTTTACGGAACAATGCGTTTAAACAATCATGTCCCCCGTTCGCAAAGGGCTAGCCTTCCAACTTGCTGGGGCATGTTAGAACTAGCCCGCCAGAGGCAGCCCCTTCCAACAATACATGGGTGTGTTTTTCAGGGGACGCCCCAAAAGAAAATGGTGGTCGTCCGTTTGGTTTCCTTAAAACCCGCAAAAAAAAGGTACCCCCCCCAACAAGGAAAGAAAGAAAAACAAAAACAATACAGATACACACCCATATGATACACGTATCAAAACTGAGCAACCTACCTCAATGTCTGGTGTCATGGCGGGGCTCATCACTCTCAAGATGTGGGTTCACTCTCAAGATGTGGGTTTGGCACTGACTCAAGTGTGCCCCATGCCATCCCCTTCACTACAGATTATGGGCAATGTTCACACGCCTTAGTTTTGCCTTGTGCGGCCCCTAAAAAATAAATAGGACCAACAAAGCAAAACCAACACCACATGTAAAGAGCAGTGAACCGGTCTGTCCTCAGATCCCCTGCTAAAAGTTTAACGTTTAGTGGGTGAAATTGAAATGGAAACCCAACCACCTTTCACCACCCAAAAAAACCAAACAAATACCATATATGTATATATATAATTATGTGTATACATATATATATATATACACACATATAAATTGACCGTTGCCATCGAGTTCCTGGGGCTCCGCGCATCACCGCCGGAGCTCCGCATGGCTCTCCTCAAGGCGAAAGGCTCGGGCCGATTGAACCCATTCTCTGAGAACCTGAGATGGGCCAAAGGCCAAACTGGTTTGAGTGCACCCAAATGCTCCGAGAAGTGAAAGTCATGAAAGTCCCAGAATTCAGGAAGTGAGACTTAAGCCTTAAGCCCTACACAATCCGGTTTGTCTTTGCTATGTTCAAAAGGGAACATGAAAGGGGCTAAGACTCTGCGGTTCGACTCCTGGAAACTTTGTGAGTTGGACCCTGGTGGGAGGGTTCAGGCAGCCAAGAGGGGTTTTGCCTGTTTGAGGCCAGCATTTGCAGGTGTTTCTAAAAGGGAAGCCAAAAGGAAAACCGCCCATTTCCGGGTCCCCTTATTCTGAACACATACCCAAACCAACCATTGGATATATCCCCTGGCTTTGACACAGGGCCGTGAGTAAACCCTGCCGAAGGCAAATATCAAATGCCTTTCGGCGAAGGCTCCGGAGAGGAATTGCTTTCACACAAAAGCGGTGGTGTTCCTTTGGGTTTCCCTTCAAAACCAACCAACAAGAGCCAAATCGGCTTGAAGCTCGTTTTACACAGCCCTTCTGCGACCCTTTTGCGAGTTCGTAAATGATACACACCTTTCACGAATCCTTGGGGGCCTTTCGCGGCTTAGGAAAATGCAATGTGTTGAAATCGATAGTTCTTCACGAATTCTGCTTTCATTTGCGGAGCCTTTGGAATGTCGGCCGTGTTGATTGAAGTGGAGAAAAGAGAAAGCCGGAAAAAGCGCACAGCTTTGTGGCTCGTTGGGGAAACATCATACATCCCACTAAGCAAACGTGGGTGCGTCCGAAATGATCTGCCACAGGTGTACCCAAAGAAAAGGGGAGCACAGGAGAACATAAAAGCACACACACACACAGAGGCACAAAGTAAAATGCCTTCGGACAAAAAACAAGATTCTTGACCTGAACACCACACGACTAAGCAAAACGGGAAGTGGGTGCTTTTTTGGGGCGACCCCTTTTTGGTTGGTTTTGAAGGAAAACCAAAGGAAGAACCACCGTTTTGCGTGTCCGCCTCAAAAAAAGGCTGCTGTTGACTGGTCTGCAAAAATATCATTCTGTTGCGGGTTAAATGGAAAAGCTGTGATTGTCCAAAAACCTTGGGATTCAAACCATCAAAACAATGGGGGCTCGTATAACCACCATTGTTTACCTAAAGATTGTCATCATCCAAATTGGGTGAACCATTCCCTTGACGGGGGTTGAACCCTAGAGAGCAGTTAAAGTCTAAAGAACCAACCCAATAGCAACTCAGTTGTTCAGCGACCCTGGAGAAAAAGGGGAACCCTTTTTGGGGAAGACCATTTTTAGTGGGGCAGTCACAAAAAAAAAGGAAAAAGGATTGGTGCCACTGAACAACTGAGAGGAGGCAACCCACCAATTTGGGGTGGTCCAAATCCTAAAGAAGACAGTCCCAGGAGTCTGCTCCGTTCAGGACATGCTCTACACCCCATTCACAGAGAAAAAAAACCGCCCAATCGCAATCAAGGAATTGCTCCCCCCCAAATCAGCTGGAGCCCTCCAGTTCTTCGCCCGCCTCGCGGCTTCCTCCTTCGACCTGGCGAATCGAAATTCGAAAAACGCGCTCGCTTGCTGAAGCATATGAAACGAAAAGACAGCGAAAGGACGAAACACTTAAGAATTCGGTTGCTTGGTTGCTTGATCTTTGAAACAACCAAATCAAACGAAAGTAAGAAAGCGAAAAAAAAACCAAACCAAACATGATTATTTGAACAACCAGTATTGTATTCAACCAAACATGGGCCTTCCACAACATGAAGCCAAACATGATGGCAAGTATTCAAGTGAACATGATTATCTGCACATGGGCCTTCCAAAACTGAAACATTAGTGATCATAGGATAATCATATAAATGGGCTTAGCTCCTTGTAGCAGGTAATCACGTTCATGGACAAGTGAAGACACTCACCAGCAACCTGCAGATGTCAAACAACCACCTCCACCACATAGCCCTTATGCACAGATACATACATTAGCTACGGCAGGTATTTGCTACATGGTTGAATAGTCGAGTGGCCCCACCTTGCTCTCATTTGCCAACGCCGCATGCGTTCGTGATCTCAACCATCTATATGTCATGGTCCTTGTTTTGGGGGTGTTCCACCTCGTTTTCCACCCAGTTTGGCATGTCACCCAACAGTTGTTGTGGCACGGCCTTTATATACTGTAGTTCTCTGTAAAAGTCAGTCACTCATATGTTACATGTTGGACGCATAGTCTGGGTGTGTCTTGTCTTAGGGGACCCGCCAAACTGGGTGTGGTCCTTTTGGTTTCCCTTGAAAACAAACAAACAGGGAGTACGCACAAAAAAGACACATTCATATGACAGCAATAGCATAATTTGAAGCACAACTGGCAGGAAATTTCTAGCTGCAAACGCCACGAAGTTTCTAGCTGATCTGAGGTTTGCTAGCATGACTTCACTGATAGGGGTGCTTGTTTGATCAGAAATCCCAACCTTGCACTTTGCTGAGCAGCAAATCGAACCTTGCAACATGTTGTTGTTCTAACAAGTGCCAGCTAAATAGTTTGGGAGCATCAAACAACACGACATATTCATCTAAGGCACACTTGGGCCAACAAACTCGCAGCACATCTCAACACGCACAACGAAACACTCTGCGCATATAGAATCGGCCAGCCCTTCTGGGATTTTAACGAAACATGGACCCACTAAAACTCGCTGGCGCTCAGCAGGCAATGAGGGAATGCCGCCTATAGACCATCCCCTATGGTTTCCTTTTACGGGGAATCCCCAGGTTCATTCCCTCATTCCCTACTGGGCATCAGCAAGAAAAGTCCGTCGAATGGCCTGGCGATGGTGGCCTGCCTTGCCTGGCGATGGGGGAGCGCTGTACTGATCCAGCCCCGTCGTTTGGATGAATATGAATGAATACACCGGGTCACAACAGGGTAAACTAGGTTCTCCAGAAGAGAGCTTAGAATAAAACGGTACCAACTCTTTTCTGTAGCCTATTTTAGTAGAGGAACCAAAAAAGAAACGGTGAGAAAGGGCACTACTGGGGGACCTAGTAAATAGGCGAATGATGCAGCAAGAGCGTGTTTCTTTGGCCCAATGTTGCCAAGGCTCTGACTACAGGTTGATCCTTGGGCAATTGGCAAATGCTTCACTTCGAGGTGGGGGTGGGTGGGACTTAGGTTTGGGTTGGGGGGGAGATCTCCCTTTCCATAGTCCAGTCCGTTAGGTATAGCCCTTGGTCTTTTGACGGCACACGCAGTCTGAATGACTCATGCTGCAAATCCATGTCTTCATCTTGCTTCTTGAATCCCTTTTCATTGGGCTTTAAGGACACCAAACGGACAAGTACCGCTAAAGGTTCCAGATTTTGAGACAAACCTACTTCAGCTTCCTGCGGAAATTCCAAACAAATTTGTCGCCCCCCCTGCAGGTTAAAATGAAGCGGCCTGGCAACATGTCGCATGATCGAACGGACGCGAAAAGACAAGCTCACAGTGGCCCTGAACGAAAATGTGCGACCCTTGTTAGACTTGACTTCATCTTTCCTGGTTCAAGACGTGATAGAAAATCCGGAGCCTTGGGTTGATGTGTTTTTCATGGGGAAGCCACCAAAACAACAGGGGTCGAAGGGTGATCTCTCCCTTCCGCCATTTCTTTGGTGGCTTCCCCGGGAAAAATCACCCAAAGCGCCCCGGATTTGTTCGACGGTGGCTCATCGGAAGGCGCCTTCTCAGCTTCATACGCTTCCCGCCGCACCTCGTCCTCTCGCTTGCGCGGGCTGGGTTCAAAGGGTTTGACAGGAAGATCTACAGGAAATCGCCGCAAAACACCCCCAAAACAGCAGTTTTCATGTAGATTATTTTTGTAATCCAACCCTTATTTGATTGGTAGTACGTTGCCAAGTCGGCTCACCTGGGTCACAACCCAACATGGTTATCCCCACTTTGGAGTACTTGATTCGGGTCATGACCTATGTCATCAAGCCATACTAATTTGGCCAAACCCCTGGCCAAGCCACTAGAATCCAGACAGCTGGAAGCCCACAAGCCACAGTTTGTCGCCTGGATGCTCCTGAAATATCCCGCATGCTTTTCAGATCTCCCACACCCGCAAGCACACCCACACACACCTTGTAACACTCTTACTCTTACTACGAGCCTTATCAAAGAACCCACGATTTTGGGGCAAGATGGTCTATTTCAGTGGCGCTACCTTAAGGCCCTGGAACCCTGTTCTTGTCTTTTATGGGCCAGGCTGGAGCAGTGAAACGCTCTATCAACAAACAAATGAAAGTCCATCCGTTCCCCCTTTTATAAACGGACCCTATTAGTAAATACTATTTTCCCCGACCGCCGGGCCCCCAATACTACTTTTAGAATTGGCCAATTCAAACTAAACTCTCGGATTCCTCACCCAGACCAGCCAAAGCTTTATTAGGGGGTGGGTAATTAGTAAAGGACCCAAGCTCCGGGCTCCGGGAGTACGTTTCCTTTACTACTGTCGTACTACAAAGCTGCGATTTTCGAGCCGGAGCTGCGGAGTACGTGCACTTTACTATACGGTCATACTACAAAGTACACACACACTTTCAAACACAGACGTACACACACACACGTGTAACTGGTCCCCGAGGCTGATTTACAAATAGGGGGGGGGTTCCGGGTTTATTATTAGGGGGAAGGGATTATTTACGGGATCCTCCAGCCTGTTGACTTGCCTTCGCCCGTCAACCATCAACCAGAAAATTATCAGCTTTTGGAGAGAAAAAAGAGTCACTCGTTGACTGAAATGAAGTCCGCAGGGCTTGTAACGACAGGCGAATCACAAGTAACTGCCAAGGGAAACCGGTGCATGCTCTCACAAGCGTCGCGTAGCGGCCGTGGAACCTTCCATCTGTCAGCTCAGTGAACCTTTTCGGTAGGGGAAAATTGAGTGGACCTGGTAACCCAAAATGTCACGACGTTGTGATGATCTGGTTTGGACTCAAAAACAATGGCACATGGATTCTGGATGCTGCATGTGTGAATCATCCATGTTGGCCGCCCCGAAGCATGGTCGACAATTTGCATCTCAAACAAATAATAAGGATTACCCGAAGATGCAAGCAGATTTCCAGCTGTGTGATACGCCTCACTGTTTCTTGGTTTTGGAACCAGTTGGACACCACTGTGTCAGAAGGTCACCATCTTTTTGTTCAGAACTGCTTACCTCCATCATGGCGCCATCTTCCTGATGAACTTCCGTCCAATCTATGTTGTTGCATTTGTCAGGCGACACAGTCATCGCCGTAAAAGAAGCATAGAACATCTGCTGCGAAGTGTCAAGGGAATGTGTCAAAAGTAAGCACACCTTCAGATTGATAAATTGATGGTCTCATGCGGGTTTTGCCTAAACAGGGCCACTGGCTTCCAATGCTTTCGGGTTCCAAAACGAGTTGATCTGTCGCAAAATAGGGGACCCCGGGCATCGACGGGTGCTTCCCCCTTGCCCCCTTCGATGTTCTGAGCTGATTGGGCAAACAAATCCAAGCACTTTCTGTTATGAAAGTGCTCTGCCCAAAACATTTAACGTTCATGAGACTTGGAACGTGAGCTTCTTGTTTGGTTAGCCTCAAAAAGGGGTAAGCCGGGTAAGCCTCAAACCAAGACAGCCCACAACCAACAATGGAACAAAACCTCAAAGCGCCTCGGCCGCCTTCCTTCGCGCATCTGCCATGGCCTGTTCGGACACTGGAGACACCATGGGCCGGGCACAATGGAGGAGCAGTTCCAAGCTGCTGATGCATCATGCTTGTGCGAACCCGTTGATACATGTTTTGGACACGCATGATCTTGTATTCTGACACACCACTCTTTGGTAACAATGTTACGCCTCTGCCACCAAAAAATACCTTTCACATAAATCAATGTCAATGGTATTGCTGATGACCAACACCGCTATTTCAAAATACGGATTCCACACCGCTAGCTCCAGATTGGCTCTCCCGTGCGAGCTGTCTAAGCTACGATGCGCAGACTGTCAAGCAAACAATCCTTTCTCCTGTTCATATGTGTCCCTTACATAAAACGCTACAAGTCTGATGCCTTTCGTGCCTGGCAAACACCACGGCTCAATCTGGATAAAACTAGTTGAAAGCTGCTTCGAAACAATTTCCTGCTCTCAGCCAACGCAGCAAAGCGCACATTTCATTCTCAGCAGCGTCAGTGCCCTCAAACAAAAACGATAAACCTTTACAGTCCTGGCAAGTTCGATGCGTCCTCAAGCTAAGCCCTTTCAGCACGTCTAACATGGCAGCCCCAGCCTGCCAGTACGCCGCTTGAACTCGCAAGCGTGCCAACGCATCCAACAAGCGAGCGCGGATTCCCCGTCTCACGCCAGCATTTTGCATACGCTTTCTCATTGACTAATACGGAGCGCACAACCTTCAACAAAATACCAAGCATGCTGCTGAATGCTACTTTCAATTGTCCAGCCGCGGCCGGAACCTTCTCCACCTTCTCTGTCAAATCCATCTTCTCCCCCAGACCCTGTTTAACCTGAGGTTTGACCTTCGGGGGGGGTGCTTATAAATCCGACGTTAACCTTACATCGTGCCGTGCAAGCGATCCGAATCCGTTCAATAGAATCTTCCATTTGCTGAAGCCCACTGGAACAGAAAACAAAACATAATCTCAGTCATGAACTCGATTTCCTTTAGATCAAACCAACAGGGTAAACTAGAAAACATATTTATTCCTTTCAGCAAATCGAAGGAATCCGTTTTGAGCGGGTCCCCTACAACTGCCCCACGCCTCCTGGCGCCGCGTGAGGCTGTCGAAGTCCTGAACAACTCGCGTGGATTGGCGCCCAAATCTTCCCCAAACGGCGAGGAGGGCGGCCTCCCCAGTTCCATTTCTCGAGTCTTCCGAACCCAGCCCCCCCGACTCAAATACCTATACATATATACATACATATATATATATATTAACATATATGCGAGGGCGACACACTCACACTCACACACACACACAGACCAAAGACACAAACGCAAACGCAAACGCAATTACAAACGCAAACGCACACACACACACACACACGGCTAATATGTGCACATTGTATCTAACAGGCCGCAAAAATCTGAGGAGCGTTCGGATGCCGCGGTCCATAGCCTTTAAGGCATGAACCCAATCGGTGATCGAAGCGATTTCATGGCAGATAAAAGGGGATGGAAATACTTTGGGCGCCCCTCCTTGGTTTCGTAAGTAGTGTGGGACCCAAAATACCCACAGACCAGCAAAAGCATTCACCGTCACTCGCAACACATAGAACGCGATAAAAAAAAAAATGGGAAAAAAAAACATAGTGAACATACACACCATACCAGCAACTCATGTGAACGCTATGTCTGGCGTTTCTGTGGTCAATTCCGGACCCACTATGTCATTTTAGTGCCGTGCCGCCAAAATTTGCATCCTTGGTCGCCCACTTGGGAAGCGCAAAAAAAATCAAGTCGCATCCTGCGTGGCCCATGGGAGTCACAAGCACTTGGATGTCCATCTAATTGAACCGATGAAAGATCAGTTAATGGCGCAAGTTAGCGCAAATGCAAAAAAGCAAACGGAACTGCACTGCTTGCTTTTGCAGGAAAAACTCTGTGTTTTTGGATGTCCTCTTTGCGAAAACGCTGGAAAAACCGTGTTTTTGTGGGAAATACTGGGGAGCCAAGGGGAAATGCAAGGAAGTGCAAGGAAAAATCTGGAAAAGTACTCTGTTTTTGGACGTCCTCTTTTCGAAACCGCTGGAAAAACAATGTTTTTTGCGGGAAATACTGGGGAGCAAAGGGGAAATGCAAGGAAGTGCAAGGAAATGAGGGGAGGAAATAGGAAGTCCACATGTCAGGAAAGCAACGGGAAATGGAAGGGAAACAAAGGGGAACTGAGAGTGCAGGGGGAATGACAGGGAAACAAAGCGCAATGAAACCAATCGGCACGACGGGAGATGTAGGGAAATGACTCGCAACGAAAGAACGGGACATGCATGGAAAATGACACAGACATACCGAGAAAATGTCAGGGACGTAAAGGGGGAGTTGAAAGGAATGGAAGGGACATGACCAGGACATCACGGGAAACGTGAAAAGGACATGAAGGGGAAATCAAGGGGAAAGCCAGTAGTGAGATGACAGTTCAGGGTTATGAAGGGGCAGTGCCGGGATATCGAGGCAACTCAGGGGGCGCTGAGAGAGAGAGAGAGAGACAGGGAGAGAGAAAGAGAGACACAGAGAGCGAGAAAGAGAGACAGAGCGAGACAGAGACACAGCCAGAGTCAGAGAAAGAGACAGAGAAAGAGACAGACAGAGAGAGAGAGAGAGGAGAGAGACAGAGAAGAGAGACACAGAAAGACAGAGAGAGAGAGAGAGACGGAGAGAAAGAGCGAGAAAGAGAGAGAGAGAGAGAGAGAGAGCGACTAGGTCCTCCAGTAGAGAGGGAAGAATTAGGGTACCCTTTTTCTGTAGAGGGGCGTGGACAGGAAGGAGACAGGCAAACAGAAAGAGACAGAGAAACAGAGAGAGAGAGAGAGAGAGGCGGACAGAGAGAGAGATAGAGAGAGACAGAGAGAGACAGAGAGAGGGAGACTCAGGAGAGAGAGGCTTGGGGGGAATGGGGAGGATGGGGAGCAGAGTGAGGGACAGAGGACGACAGAACACACGAGGGAGACAAGGGAGAGAGGAAGAAGGAGCAAAGGGAGAGGACAATGTCGGCGGACTGAGCCGGAGGCTCTAAAGTTTGATCCTGGTCCGTATCAATTGACCTTCAAGTGAAGAGCACAAAATTACAAGAAAACGACAGATACAGTGTACAAACAAAGTGCAATACAAATCATAGACAAATAATTGTACCTTAAAGTGTAAAAAATCAAACCACGACACACAAAAAACAGGTCCCAAGCATTGTGAACTCGCGTCAGGTGACATTGAGCCCTTCCCACCTCTGCCTCTGGCTTCCCCTGCGCGGAGGCAGGCTCAACCATAACGACTAACATTGGCCAAGCCCCACAAAAAGCCCGGGCGTGAGCGGGCCATCCCATGACTACTTTGTCACCTGAAAAGTTTCCTTGGTACAGAACACGAAGCTAAACCCAAGACCCTAGTTCCAACAACCATGAAGGCAAGGGAACACTCACACGCGCAGGCACGCACATTGACAGTCTTTCCTGCGCCGAACATGCCAACTTGAATGTGGATGAAGAGAATGAGGACAAATGCCGGTGCAATCTACCTCTTTCAGCTGTTTCAAGCTACAGCACAATACATATATATATATACATTCGGGCCTCATACTCCACAACTACCGTTGCCCCTCCTCTACTGCCCTCTTGTTGATCAACGCGCCACATTCAGTCAGAAGATGATTGATGCGTGTCACATGGTGCAATGCCAACTCATGCTTCTCCTAGGCATGCTGCAATAATTCCTCGGTCTCCTGCCAGGAGGAGAAACGGGCGTCGCTTCTTTGGCCGAACATCTCGCAGTGCCCGATTGGTTTGGATTGGAGGTGTGGAAGTTGGGGTGGTTTCACATTTGCCCACAAAAACCAGAAGCTCGAATCCTCAATTCCAAACCACCCACTAAGGGATACCTGATAACAGCCATGTTCTACCATGCCAAGGACAAGTCGGAGACCGGTCTAGGAAGCTTCCTGGAGTTTTTTGGCTCAAGTCACCCAACGGGCTCCCGTGCCAAGCAAACTAGCCAGCCGACTGCCTCATCATCTGACTGCCGTAAAAGCAAACAAATGGCCCTCAGAAAAAAAGCTGAACAACCCTTGAATATGGCTTTGAAAACTGACCAAGGTCAGTTGCTGTCTCCTCTCCCAAAACAAGTCAAAGACTGCTGCATACGGCAAAAGTACACATCCAATCAACATCGCTGCAATTCAGATGACACATATTGGCACCATCCCTTCCCGCCGTCGGTTTCAGGCGCGATGAAAATGCCATGGCTCCAACGCAAACTAAGTTCACTCCCAGGTCGCATAGATCCTTGCGTGGGTCAAAGCCATGCTTGACATGTATGTGCTATGCCTCAACACAGGTGGGATGCGTTGCTTCTCTTGTTGGACCTCTCTTCTTGCCAAAGCTGCGGTATGAAAGCAGCAGACTGGGCGTTTCTCAACAGGGGCCGCCTTCCAGGCGCTTGGAGTCTTTGTGGTTTCTCTCACAGCATCCATGTCTTAAGTGGTCCCCTGGTTTGAGACAGACCCACCTGACAGGCAACCGGCACATGAACTTTGCAGCCGGGCAAGCTCTCACTTTTGCCCACCATTCATGCAGCCCTTTGGCTGTCGGTGCGGCTTCTCTGTGACCATTGATCAACTTCAGTCAAGAACAGTGCATGCTGGACAACGAAAAACGCAAATTGAAACGACATGGGTGTGTCTGTGTCTTCTTTGAGGTCTCCCTTTTTGGGAAGGTTTTGAAACAACCCATTGTGGCGCTCCCCTAGTTTGTCACATACCCACAGGTCATGTGCAATGTCACTGCCAAATGCTACGGCTCTGACTACATTAACGTACCCCTGCAGGGTGCTCAAAGGATGCCGCAGCCCATATCTCTGACGATGCAGTCAGTGGCCTGAGCCGTGTGATGCTGCGCCCAACCGCCAGCTACATGCGTAGGTTCAAGACGGCAAAACGGTCAGTGCGCATGACATGGGCAAGGTGCGTCAAGCGTGCTGCACATCGAATGTGCGCAGAGTGCGCATGGTGTGCAAGATCTGAAGGTATGGCGTGTGCGTGGTGCGTCTCTCTGTGTATGCGCATTTTTGAAGGGTGGACAGTGTCAAAGTCCGGACAATGCGCACATCTGGGTGTGTGTATGTGTGGGTGGTGTCCATGCTTAACGTTTGCGTGCGTGCGTGCGTGCGTGGGTGAGTGCGTGCGTGCGTGGGTGGGTGGGTGGGTGGGTGCTGGGTGGGTGGGTGGGTGGGTGGGTGCGTGGGTGGGTGGGTGGGTGGGTGTGTGTGTGTGTGTGGGTGTGTGTGGGTGCGTGCGTGCGTGCGTGCGTGCGCGTGCGTGCGGGCTGCGTGGCGCTGGCGCGTGTGCGCGTGTGCGCGTGTGCGCGTGTGTGTGTGTGCGAGCGCGTGTGCGCGTGTGCGCGGTGTGTGTGTGTGTGTGTGTGTGTGTGTGTGTGTGTGTGTGTGTGTGTGTGTGTGTGTGTGTGTGTGTGTGTGTGTGTGTGTGTGTGTGTGTGTGTGTGTGTGTGTGTGTGTGTGTGTCTGTGTCTGTGTGTGTCTGTGTCTGTGTCTGTGTCTGTGTCTGTGTCTGTGTCTGTGTCTGTGTCTGTGTCTGTGTCTGTGTCTGTGTCTGTGTCTGTGTCTGTGTCTGTGTCTGTGTCTGTGTCTGTGTGTGTGTCTGTGTGTGTCTGTGTGTGTGTTTGTGTGTTTGTGTGTTTGTGTGTTTGTGTGCTTGTGTGCTTGCGTGCTTGTGTGCTTGTGTGTTTGTGTGTTTGTGTGGTTGTGTGTGTGTTTGTGTGTTTGTGTGTTTGTGTGTTTGTCTGTTTGTGTGTGTGGGTGGGTGTGTGTGTGTGTGTCTGTGTGTGTTTCTGTGTGTGTTTGTGTGTGTGTGTGTTTGTGTAAGTTGTGTGTGTGTGTGTTTGTGTGTGTGTGTGTTTGTGTGTGTGTGTGTGTGTTTGTGTGTTTGTGTGTGTGTGTGTCTGTGTATGTCTGTGTGTCTGTGTGTGTGTGTGTCTGTGTCTGTGTGTGTGTATGTGTGTGTGTGTCTGTGTGTGTGTGTGTGTGCGTGCATGCGTGCGTGTGTGCGTGTGTGCGCGTGTGTGGGTGTGTGTGGGTGTGTGTGGGTGTTTGTGCTGGGCTGCTTGTCTGTTCTTTGTGTTTGCTTGCTTGTCATTGGTGCTTGTCAATGGTACTTGCTCCAGAATTGTATTGCAACAATCCAAAGTGCTTTGCCGGCCCTATCAGGTCCGCTTGTGTTGAATACATCAGCTTCCCTGTAATTGGCGGCTTGGAGGTGGTTTGGAAGGGTTGGCCCATTTACCGTCTACAAGAACCAGAGAGTCAAACCCTTAAACCACCAATCCAAACCACCAACTGAGGGTTACCTTATTCATTCAACAAGGCTGGGTTTCAAAATAGACCTTGTCAATCCAAGCTTCCATGTCCGAGGAAACCGTCTCGTAGCTGACTTTTTCAGCGCGGCCGCAGCTTTGCAGAGCTCCGTCGCTTCCCAAAAGCGGCTGATATCCCTCATGCCCAAACATGAAACTACCCTGGGCCGCGCTCAGATCCCCTCCGACCAGTTCTACTTTTGGTGTGGAATGGAAACCTTGCACCCTCAAAACCAAACAATCTAAGGGGACGACTGGAAACCGCCAAGTAAGTCGGAAGGGGCTTTAAAAAAAATCGTGTGTTGCCAATCATGCAAAGATTGACTTCCATTGCTGGAAAACGAGTGCTTAATAGCTTAGGTTTGAAGGGGGTGATTGCCTTTGATGTCCTGACAAGTCAAGTATCAAGCGTGACAAGTACGTGCCCCCAGGGACATGCTGAGGTATCCCAACATATCCCAACCCAAGCAAAATCCCGCTATGCCTCTGTCTCTCACTTGGTCCTTGCAAGTGACAGTGAAAATGGCTTTGTTCATTGCCCGGTCACGGGGAAAACCTTGACCTGGAACCTGAAGGCCCCTTCCAAGATAATGGGGAACCGGCCCCCCCCCAGCGGAAGGTTCGTTCATCTCTCGTTAAAACCCATGGTTTGTGTTTGTTTGCCGCTACAAATCAGCAGAACCAAAAAGCCTAAAAACTGCCAACCAACAGTGACTAGGTCCTCCAATAGAGAGGTTAGAACAAGTTGGTACCCTTTTTTTCGGTAATCCATTTTGGTAGGGGAACCCTCCCAACCAAGAACCCTCGTGCCTCCACCTCCGCGCCATGGTCCAAGAGAAGTCGGGCGATCTCCTGCGGTTTGAGACGCCGATCCTTCTGCAGGGCTAACAGGTCACTGGATTTCCCCTCCAAAAGTTGCAATGGACTGCTGGACGGCGGTTCCACAAAGGGAAACGGGGGAACCCTGGTTGAGGGAGTACAGTCACTGGATTTCGCAAATCAGGATGTTTTTTCCCATTAACATTCATTTGAGGCACCTAAACAGTGCCAGTCACGGGCTAACAGTAAAGTTGCAATTGACTGGTGGGTGGAGGTTCCAAAAAAGGAAACTGGGGAACCCTGGCTGAGAGCGGGAGTCTTAGTCAGGAACTCCGACCTGAAACCGGAGAACTGGGGAGCCCCCTCATCAGTGGATTTGGTTTCCTCTCATGCTGGTAGCCAAGGACAGCCAACTTGAATGTACTCAAGCAAAGCAAACTTCGCCGTACGTGGCACCATGAACATCAACTGGATGACTCTTCGTGAATCATGGATCACGTCGGCCAAAACATGAGATGTCACACAAATGCAATCACCGGCATGAAGCTCACCATGAACTCAAGTCGTGTGAAAGGAAATGCGCCCATGCACCCAGGCTTTTAGCCACCCTTGGCTTCAACATGTCTAAACCCCGATTGTTTCAACAACCTTCGCCTTTGGTCATAAGGGAATCTGGGTCTGGTGTCACGTGTCTGTTGGCCAGCTGTGTGAGCTCTCTGACGTGTTCAAGCTCTTCGGTTGACCTTTGCTGCCCGCGAGTTGTTCTGCTTCAACGGGATCTTGTTGGCCAATCTTGGGATTGGGCAGGTTGCGGGTAGGTTCCGGGCAGTCGTGTTCTTTACTTTTCTTCCGGGCGATTCTGGGAATGCCCCTGGAGCCTGTTTCCGACTACCAGCCTGGTAGACCCTCGGCGGATTACGCTGAGATGCCTTTTTCCCATAGCGGCCCTGTAGCCCTGGAAAAACAGCCAGCCGTCTTTTGGTAGTTGATTCTAATAATATGTTGATAAGTTACCTCCAAGAAAAGGGAGACAAGGGCACCGCCGGGTGTCTGGGTTGCCAAAACGGTCAACAAGGCAAAACAAGTGTTATTAAATTGGCCAAGTGTCGGATAAACAAACAAACAAGCAAGCAATCAAACAAACACACAGAGAAACTTGCAGGAATGGAGGAATGATGTTCCTCATCTTCCCTTGTCTTTCCCAAGTCATACCTTCTTCCAGTTGTTTTGTGTTGCTCCATTGTCTGTCTTTGAGCTATGGGCAACATTGCACTACAAAGGATCCTGCGCCATTTCCGAGAACTGGTCTCGCTAGGGCTGACCTTTCATGTTTGTTGGTAAAAGCGCCATCAGCAACGATGTTGGGCAACTCTGGAAAGCTCCTGGAGACCGTCCAGTCAGCTTGCATCGGAGGAAAGGACATTACATCCAGCACAGCACATACTTGCTCGTCTCTGGGCATAAGGTTATGGCTGCTTGACCCAAGGAGGCACTCCATTCAAACCTTGGCCCCAAAAACAAACACGTTGCAACAACAACAACACATGTTTGCTGTGTCTGTTTTCGCTTCGCGGGCATCTCTTTTTGTGGCTTGAAAGGGAAACCAAAAGGACACCAAAGTCATTGTGGGTGTCCGAGGAAAAAAACAAAACATTTGGGTCGTTGGCGCTGTACTTTTCCCACGCAAAGACGTCAAACCACGGTACCGCCGTGCGACCCCGCCGTATGGCGCGCGGCCGCAGCGTAGGCGAGCGGCGTCTTGTCAAGAAAGTCCGTGGCCTCGATGGTTCGCTTGCTACTTGATTCTCAAAACAGGGGTCCTCGCATTTGGTGCACCATAGAATTATTCAACACCATGTTGTACGCCAATAATAATGTTAAATCATAGATGGCTGGTTTCCTGGTTAATTTCTTTTTTGGCTTCCCTTTAACCAATCAAAAAGGGGGATCCTCTTTGAGAAACCCCTACCAACAGGCCAACAGGTCATGTTGGGACCCAATTGCCCCAGTCTGAGCAACTCCAACAGCTCCCCCAAAGGCAACTGGTCGGTTTCTCCAAAGAAAGCCCTGTGCAGTCCCTCAGAACAGCCGGACGCTCCTGCCCCCAGAAGGCCTCTGAACCAAGTCTCCCATTTCGGGGTGTCTTGGAGCTTTGGAGTTGCCTGGGGGAGGGTGAAGGCAATTTGGCCATGGGTCAAAATCCAAATCGTACCCCCAGTGAACATCCCAATCCCCACTAAAACAGGTTCTAAAACGGGTGCTGCACCTACCCCAAAATGGGATCCCATTGGTTTTGACCCAAAGCCATTTCGGAAAACCATCCAGGTGTACTTGGGACCGGATTCATCAACTGCAGCACCAACCCTATTGGTTTGGGTAGACGTTTTCTTGAAAAGGCGCGCTGCGGTTGCCAGTCTTTGGAGCCATCATAACGTAGGCATGAGGTCAATGTTTGACCCCCTGGTGTCCAAAACGATGGGCGAGTTCGATGGACGTATATCAGCCTTCGAGTATCATGTTTTCGCTGGTTTAAGCGCCCTTTGAGAAACCTGTCCAGAGCAATAGCTTTTGCTGCTCAGTCCATTCCCCGTGCCTTGCGCCTTAAGAGTGAAGAACCCCAGTGACCCGAACAGCTACGAGGCAGCAGTGTCGCAGTACAAAAAGAAACTTTCTCACGGGCAAGGAGGTGAGGACTTGATCACCTGAAAACCGACACCCTGCAATTCTTGTCTGAAACCCACCCTCATGGCCCAGTAAGTAAGTCAACAATCTATCGGGGAGCAATGGGGAGCACAACAACAAACGGGGAGGATTGAAAAGGGATCCGATCGTTCCAGGCGGTTGTGGTGCTTCTTGTGGCGGAGTGTTTTCCCGTGGCGGAGGGCTTCCTCTCCCACATGGAGTGGATATGGAGTGGTTGGACCACCTGAACCCCCAAAAACAGATGCTGTATGGGCCAGTTGCCTGTGCAACAAATGAATGATCCTCAAAAACGGATTCGGAGCCCCGGTGTTTGAAGCGAAACCCAAAGGAAACTACGCAGTTTGGGGAGGCCAAAATTTTGAGAGCCGCCCAACTGGAACAAGCATGGTCCTCACCAACCGGCTGCCGGCCCTCGGCCAGTCGGCCGCTCGCCAGCGATACCGGTTTTGGCGCCTCCACGTCGGCGCGAGCGGCCACAAGGACTTCGCAGACCTGCCGCATGAGAGGTGTCTGCCTGTTGATTGTTGAAGACGCTACAAATCTGGGCTGCCCTCAGACCCCCCGCGTCCCCCACTCATAAGGGGTGGGGGCACTCTCCCCAAGTCGCGCCCTGGAAACTGGGGCAGCTGTGTTGTCCACACTTGGCCAGGCAATGCCTGAAACTCACCAACGGCAACGGGACTCCGAACATATGTGACTGCGCCTCTTTGTGGTGCGCTGGTTGGTTTTTTGGTTGGTTGGATGGTTGCGACTCCGGAGCAAGACATATGAACGACCACTTCGGTCGATGAGTCAACACGCCAAAGAAAGTGTGTGTGTGTGCTGCGCAATAGACCTTGGCAGAAAAACGAACTAAAGTTTGAACCAAGAGCGCCCGAAGAGCTTCTCATTGAGTTATCTTGATTAGACAGACATTTTTTTGGGCGCATAGATCTGCCGAATGGAGGTTTTCATAAAAACGCACACGTAGGTAATATTCACCGCGCGGTCTGGCCAACATCCGGCGACGATCTGACTGATCCAGCCATGACCCAGCCATGACCCGGCAAACGTCACCCAGCTGCCACGGCCGTCAGGCCGCACTCCAGCCGCGATCCAGCCGCGATCAGGTCGCGATCCGACAGCCATCAGGCCGCGATCCGGCCGCGCTCGCGCCAAGATAACAACCATTTCGCCGGCGGAAACGTCTCATCGCCAGTGTGAGCCAAATCTGCTACCGGCCGCGGGGCGTCAGCGGATTTGCCAGCCCGTCGACGGATGTGTTGATGAAAATCCGCTTGCGCGGCCAAGAATCCGCGGGGCATAAGCAAATGATTTGTCCGAAAGCACAGAGCGCCCGCACAGCGATCCAGATAGCGCAGGCTGAGGCAGGCGTCAACATGCACAGGGCGTTTCCAACAACGCATGTGCGGCTGTCAACACCCCAGGCCCAGGCACAGCTTCCAACCGCAGGATGTTTCCAACAACGCACGCACGGATACGCGCAGCTGTCAACAGACCCGGCACAGCTTTCAACGAGCGCAGCCCATCAGCTGGCAGAGCTGCCAACAGCCCAGGCACAGCGCGCAACTGCCCAGGCGCAGCTTTCAACATCCCAGGCACAGCGGCAGTCCAGGCCAAGCTTCCAATAGCCGAGGCACCGCGATCAACATCCCAGCCTTCAACATCCCAGGCACAGCAGGCAACCGCCAACCAAAGCGAGCCACGGACATGCCAAGCTTTCAATAGCCAAGGCACTGCAACTTTACATCCCAGGCGCAGCTAACATGCCAGGCACAGCTTTCAATAGTCCAGGCACAGCTTCAACTGCCCAGGCACAGCATTCAACATACCGGGCATGGCCTGCAAAGATGCACGCTTTAAAATGCATGAAGCAAAAATGCACGGGGAGCCCCCGGCAAAAAGTGACTAACTTTTCGTGGGTTGAATGGAGACTACTACTAAACACTGAAAGGCGAAAAAGCAAAGGGGATGGCTGGGAGCCACCAAGAAATTTACAGCAAGTTCATGGTACCGAAACAGTCAAGCCAGAGTGTCTAGTCAAAATATTCCCCCGGCCACAGGGATGCTCAAAACACGCAAGAGTGAACATCCATTTAACATGCTCATTGCACTTTACTATCAAGAAAAGGATCGACCAAAACACAGACTCGTCTACGTCTTGTAAAGAAATCCCAAGTAAACATCCCTCTACCCTAAGAAGGGGCATGTGGGTGTCGTCTCCAGACATGGAAAAATGGGTTGCCATCATAAAGGGAACACGGTCGGACCGGACTGACTTCACATATTGCTTGTATATGTCTATTGTTTGTATGCTGCCTGCCCATAGAACCTGACTGCAGGTTCACAAAACACGTTTGTCCTCTTCAGAGGACCTTCTGGTGGATTCCATATTAGCAGGTGACTCTGTTGACTGCTTCACTTTCATCATAAGCTATTCTTTAAATACATTTATGTTTGCATATCCTACTCTATCTGTAAATGCGACGAATCATGAATGCACATATTGGTCCGTGTGCCAATTCCATCTTCGAATGCACATTATCTTGCATACGGACGATTTTTTTCGTTTTGGAGTTACAAAAGTCTCCGATTCGTTTTGTATATTCAATGGGAAGAACTCTGTACTTTGTCCACTGAGCGGGACCCTAAGCCAGCCGTAAGAAAGGTAGCCCGAAAAAACACACAAAAAAAACAAGGGTACCCTTTTTGGCTGGCTTTAAAGGGAGCGCGGCAGGAAACCGCTCCTAGGTCCTCCAGTAGAGAGGTTAGAATAAGGTGGCACCCGATTTTTTTTCTGTAGTCTATTTTAGCAGGGGAACCCTCCCAACCACAAAAAAGTTGGTGAGAAAGGGCACCTAGCTCGGGGACCTAGCTGCACCACTTGATAGGTGGTTTGTCCCTTTTGTTCCTGGGGTTGAATCTATCCCAGTTGCAGGATTTACTGTTGCAGTCCTCGCGCTGAATCCATTGTTTTTTTTTTGGGGGGGGGGATTTCCCCCTCCGACGTTGAGAAGCACGCTGCCCATTGGCCACCGAAATCTGCTGACTTCCGGCCTGGAGCCGGCCGTGTCGGGCCGCGAGCACCAGCGCGGTGCGGCCCTGCCGGTCGCAGGCCTGCAACGCTCCCAAAAAAAGGCAACGGGATAGTAACCTTCCATTTGATTAAGACCCTGGAAACAAATCGTAGTGATAAATTCCTTTTAAAACCAACGAAGGAAAATAACAAATATTCTTTAGCAAATGGAAGTAACCTGGGCTGTCCGTTTAGATCCGCCGCGAAAAGTGCAACTTTTAGTGGCCTAAATGGAAACTGCCACTAAACACTAAAAAAACTAAAAGGCTAAGGGGATGGCTGGGAGCCACCAAGTGTTTGTGGCTTGAATGGAAATCCCCGCTAAACACAAAACAGGTAGAAAGCTAAGGGGATGGCTGGGAGCCACCAAGTAATACAGTAACCCATTCAACTTATGAGGGTTTAAAGCATGACCCTTGGTTACCCAGCATACGGATGTGGCTTTTTTGGGAAAAAACAACGGGAAACCCTAATTGATGTCCCTGAAGGTCCTAAGAGAGGATTGTGGGAAAAGCTGTATACTTAGGGTTCTCACTTCCGATCGAGTGGATTGGACAAAAAAGTAACTAAACTGTTTGTTTAGCACTAACATGGTCTTCCCAGAAAAAGAAATCCAGGAATCAGGAAGTGAGGGTTTGAAGCGTGACCCTTGATGCCCCTAAGAGGTTTATAAGACAAGCTGAAGGGTTCCGATACATCTTTAACAGCTTCTCCAAGGCGAATGTCCGCTTTGGATGAATCAATTCTCACCTCGGGACAAAACAAGCTTTTGGATGACTCAGGTGCCTATGGTTGGAAAATGTTCGCCTGTGAAAAATGGGATCTCCCCTTTTGGCTTCCTGAGGGAAAAGCCACCATTTTGGGCTCTTTAGTACCCAGCACAGGCCGGGCTGTTCAAAATGGTAGGCTGGCCAATCCCAACCCATACTCCCTCCGTACAGGGAAAACCACCGCAAAGGCACCACTTCGTTGCCAAAAGTTTGTTTGCGAGTCATGCTACCGACACAGTGCATGCGAGATGCACCAAGTTTAACTTGTTGTGGGTTCAATGGAAAATCCCTCGTTTCCCCAAAAGCTGCTGTAAAGTCCAAAGACCCAACAACATAGCGATAAAGTTTTGAGCAGGTGCCTGGGATCAACCACAGGAGCGTCACAGGCTTGGTCACAATCCGACGATCGGAGCCTCAAGGAGCTGGGGATGTTGCCGGAGGAGATCTTTGCACACCTCTCGGCTGAATGGATACGGGGACCCATGGCTATCCATATGGGGAGCTCACAACATCGGTGGACATCAATCCTCTCTCCAAGTTCGCACCCACCCTGGCTATGATCCCCTTACCGTTAATGACTTAGTTCTGGGAAGCCGGCCCAAGCAATCCGAACAGGCCATGGGTTCATTTCTGGATGTATACTGAACCAGTCTTTGACCGCCAGAGGCATTGTGTTGACAATGCACTTGTCTCAGGGCCGGAGATAACCGGTAGGCTTTCCCAAATCTAACCCCAAATACCCCCAGCCCTAAGGTTGGGGCTTTCGGGTTTCCATCCTTGGTTCCAAAACAGACCAAAAGGTCAGCAACGTCTGCTGGGTTGCACTGCGAAGAGAACCTCCGGATAGTGTGGATATGTGGGGATGGCTATACAAACTCCTACGCCAAGTGGATTTTTCCAGCCATCCGTCCATCCACAGTTCTATGGGGTGCACTGATACTATGGATTCTGGGACAGTCTTGGCTCCCCAGGAATCCAGTCTGCCACACATTCCGTGCAGTTTGCACTGGTCCATTTGGGGGTCGCTCCGATGGTGGGAATCTAGTTGCTAGTTTCACCATGCGGCTTTCGGAGGACGAGAAACGGCCCGAAAGCTCAAGCACACAAACCAACTGCTGCGGGGCCAACAGCGCATCGTTGAGGGAAGAACATCGCACTTGTTCGGATGCTCGTGCTGATGCACAAAGCCCTGCACCAATAAGTGGCTTGTCCCTTTTGTTCCTGGGGTTGAATCGAATTATCCCAGTTGGTGTAGGAGTTCTTCCCATATGCTGCTGCAGCCCTCGCGCTGAATCCACTGGTAACAAACTCCGATCTCAGGAGCAGCAGCTCCACAAACAGAGCGGACTCACCTGTCTGGCGGCCATGAAACAAACAACACACGCCACCCGTATGTGTAACCTTGAAAGAAGGGGGGCCCAAACAAGAGAGCAGCGCAAGGATCGCAATGAAACAACCACCAATCGTTGCACAGCGCCGAAAACCATTGAGACATCCTGCTGGCCTTCGATGAAACTTTCAGATTCGACCTCCAAAGGCCAAGGTCCTTTAAAGTTCCGGCACCTTGGGGTCGCTGTTGCAGGGGGAAAACCCTCTCCAAAGAGGCAAGGTTTTTGAGGGTACCCCATTTTTTTGTTTGCGCTCTGTTTTTTTTTTAAATCGTGACACCAGGAAAACCGAAGCCGTTTCGGGGCACCCCCCCACCCGGAATTGCGCGAAAGGCCTCCGCTCGCCCCTCGGCCGCCGCGGTGAAGAGCTGGGCCTCAGCCGAAAAAATCGCCGCCAGCTCGACTCACCTGAGCCTTGGGGCATATGGCGGGGGGTCAAAAATAGGTATCCAAAATGGAACCCTGCGAAATGGAACCAAGGACTAAAGCCTGTGGTTCACTAGTGGTTTGATTTTGACCCGTGTGGTTCAAAATTCAAGAGCTAGGGCAATCCGCAGGGTTTAGTCTTTGGCGCCACTTCTCAAGGTATACCAAGGTGCCGTTTTGGTACAGCGCTTTGAGCCACAGCCATATGGCTATGAGTCTTAAAAGTTGGAACCTCCAAAGTGGTTGGTGGACATGGATCCCCACCGAATTCTGATGTGAACTAAGCTGTCTGTGTGTGTGTTACCTACTGGCCCGCTCCGCGTCAACCATCTCCTTTGCGATTCAACAGGCCGGATCATCTCACTGAACTATGAGCCAAACTACAAAGCTGTGCCAGTGTATCTGTAGTGCGCGTCTTGACTCTTTGGGGCAATGCGGGTATACACTTCCGGAAATTCTTGTCTCAACACATCCTCACCTCCAACTGAAATTCATGACTCTAGTCATGAACCCCTTCACTATACATTACTTAGGGTACGGGATCGCGTAATTCTGCTGGTTTTCAACATCTGTTGGCTGCCAAGGCCTGGTGATGCTATGCCCCAAGCTGCAATCATAGTGGCTGCCGCTGGCTAATGCATGGAGGATACCTCTGGATTCAGCGATCCACATAAATCCGCCTAATCGTCAAGCTACGCAAATCTGTGTCGGTGACATGCCCCCAAGTCCGGCTTCTGTTTGGTTGCGCTTCGCTGCACATGTTGTGAGGCTCAATGAGCACCAAGACTTCTGCGTAACATGTCACACATCAACACATCGATGCGCCGTTGCTCACTTGGTATGTGCAGGCTCTTCAGCTGCTTTTGGACGTCACTCCTTTTCGGCATGGTTCTTTGTTCATTCGGCTGTGTCTTGTTCTCGCGAGACAAGCTGCGAGTCGAGCCAAAGGAGACAGGTAGCAACGAATCAAGGGCACATCCCAAACTCGTGCTGGCCTTGGGGAAACCTGTGGGTGCATACCTACTTTGGTTGCTTCATTTTTTAAGGGAACCCGACCAAAAAGGGAGGGAACCCGTGGAGGTCTAGGTGTTACCATTTTTACGTTCAAGGTCGTATGCAAGGTCAATCTCTTTGCCAACTAAGCCAGCCAGACTATCGGATACATCCAGACCGTGACGGGCGGTTCACCCAAATGTTGGTAGTTTGAACAGGAAAACGGAAGCCATTCTAAGGGGGTCCAACTCAAAAATGACACATCCACATTTGCGGGGGGGGGGGGGTTCCTTAGAGGATCCTCCAGAGACCGAAGTTAACGCCAGCTATTCTCAGCTGGAGAGCCAGCCCAACCTGAGCCCTCAGAAGAAAGCCCTGCACCCTCAGTCAAACCTCTCCAAGCAAAATGTGGTTGTTCCCGTTTGGTTTCCCGGTAAAGCAACCTGAAAGGGGTACCCTCAAAAACACACATACACAAAAAAGCAAGCCATTGTGGCGTTTGCTTTCTGTGCGCTACCCGAATTTAAGTTGCACATTTCATCCGCTCAGCAGAGTCGTGTTCAAGAATAAAGTCTTCTTCGGCGAACGGCTATCCCTTGAAGCGCACGAACTCGACAAGTTTGGCTCGGCTGAGCTTCTTGGGTTTTTTAGCTGCAATCGCCCTTCAGCTCTCCCGGCCTCACTCCAACACTGAAACCTGGAAGCTCCCAACACTCTTAAAACGACTCCCTTCCGCAGATTGCTTGACAGGGGAAGTCAAATGCCAAGAGGGGGTAAAAAGGGGTGCGTGGAATCCCATTTGCGACGAACGCGTTTGTCCGAAACTATTCCAGCCATCGGGCCACTATGTACACTGGGCCACTCGGCTTCGGCGCTGCCTGACGAGGGCGTGGCCAGTGAGAATGAGAGAGGGGCGCGACCAGCTTCGGGTGCGCGCCATGCTCGCCCTTCGCGCGCGCCGGGTTGGGCCCTTGCTCGACTGTTTCAGCCGCTGAAACGGGATCCACTCACCGAAGGAGGGTGGGAAATTCCGGGACCCAGTCTTAGGCAAAATGGGTTGCCACAAATGGAGGGTCGATCTCCCCCTCCCAATTCCATGAAGCCCAACCCCGGCGGCGGGAGTACCAATCTAAACAAGTGAACGGGCTTTGTGCACGCCAGTTCCAGCGATTGACGAACCCAAAAGCTCGCCCAGTTTTGTAGGAAGATCCTTTCAGGGATGGATTGGCAAGATTTGTTGTTTTCAGCTCTTACATCTAGCAGTAGTGGATGTTGGCGGCCAAAACAAAATGGGCTCCTTGACTCTTTGGCTCCCGATTTTGTTGGGTGGATCTTAAGCCCTGGCACTTCGGTGTTGGGAGAGCTTCGGGGATCTGGCTGTGGGTCAAAAATAGGCATCAAAAATGGAACCCGGGTACATGGAACCAATGACTAAAACCTGCCGTCTGGCTTAATTTTGACCCATACCCATTTGGGTGTGGCTCAAAATTACAAAGGAGGGGCAATCTGCAGGTTTTGGTCTATGTTTCCACTTGCCAGGGCAACCCATTTTGGAATTCCGGTTTTTTGAGCCACACCCATTTCTCGCTCGCCCGTTTTGCTCGTCACTCGAGGCTCGCTCGTTCTATCGGCGCCGGCCCCGCGCCACCGGCGACTCCACCTGCCCGAAACCCGGCGAAGCCGAGTGGGGAGTGCTCCGGAGTCCCCATGCCACCTCCGTGCTCCATAGAAAGTGGGGAAAAAGGAGTACACTCCAATGAACAGTTGCCACTTATTCAATTGCTATTCCAAATAACTGTGCTTTCTTTTGGAGGTACGCTTGTTAGGGTTGGTTTACAGGGAAGCCCAAGGGAAACCCAACCATTCTGGTGAACCTCCCCGGACACTGCAAACTGTCATTTTGACCCTGCTGAGCGGGGGTTGCAAGCCCTCCCCAAAAAGAAGATTCGGAATCCCCTTCTCACAGCCCAACAAAACCCATCACAACAGGACCTGCCAAAAACGGTGAAACACAGGAGAAAGTAATGTTGACCCCACATTAATCAACCCCAGTTTCTTAGTAGGGGGTGATCCCCTCCAAAAGTGATGATTCCCCACTAAACCTAGGGACACCTCCTAAAAATAAGCAGGGCTTATTAATATGGGGTCAACAGTAACAACACCTGCCCACTGACGCTGGTACAAAGAGAAACCCATTTGTTGTTTGGTCGGTTGGTCGGTTGGTCAGTCGGTCAGTCGGCCGGTTCCGTTTTGGGCGTACCCAAACTAAAAGGGGAGTCTCACCAGGAAAATGACGCCGACGCCGGAAGCGTTGACCCGACAAAACTTCACGTATTGCACATGTAACCATCCAGGTTTTACAGAAGTTGCTTTGGAACCTACCAGCTCCGTGCAAGCCCAGTACAATGCAATTGTTTCCCTGGAGCCCGGCTTGGTACCATTCCAGTTCCGGATAAAGAACCGGCCAATGTTCGGATGGTGGGCCTACTCAGATCCCCGAAGATAGCTTTCCGCACAAAAAAAGAGGTGGTTCCAGGCCACAACATGGCGCCCAACTTGGCGCCCGACAGGCGACACACCGGCCGCGTCCGCTGTGACGTTCTTTGCGGCCTGGAAACTGAAAGAAATTCAACTTCTGTGTGGCTGAAACTTTGGCATCCCTGGCAGGAATCCCTGCATCAAGCTTTCAGCCTTCTGAATGTGTTATCTTCCACTCACCGGCGATCGGTTGCACCTTGTCCAGGGGGCAATAGCCACATCTCAGTCGCGGGTGGACCTTAATGATAACATCATTTCAAGCACTATCCCAGCAAAGGAATGGAGACCTCACAGCTGGCGCAGGAAGAGTCCAATTGTTTCCTCAAGGTGCGGCCAAATCTGGAGAAATTCCCTGGTACCCTACCACGCCCTACCAGACTGGAGAGCTCGTGCCTTGTGGAAGTACTGACCCAGCTACCTCCGCGCTAAACTCTACAGCAGAGGTCAGATGCTCGCAATGAACAAGCAGAACTAAACTAGGTCCTCCAGTAGAGAGGTTAGAATAAGGGTACCAACTTTTTTCTGTAGTCTATTTCGGTAGGGGAACCCTCCCAACCAAAAAGGGTAAAAGGGCACTACTGGGGACCTAGTAAACATTGGGGGTTGTATTGAAGAGGTGTCCTTCATTTGGCAAGAACTCACTTGGCTGAGCCCAGCCGATGAAACAGGAGGCCCCCAAAAGCTGCGTTAAGAACGGCATCGACACAGGCATCCTCAAAGCAAGAGGGGCCCATGAATGGGAACTCAAAAAAGAATTGTGAGCTAGCAACAACTAAACAATCAGCCTGTCAGCAACAAACTGTGACTACCCCGTTTGTGGATCCCCGTTAACGATCAACTCACATTTTTGTAAGGATGTCAACAATGGCAACGGCAGCAGCAGCAGCAGCAGCAGCAGCAGCAGCAGCAGCAGCAGCAGCAGCAGCAGCAGCAGCAGCAGCAGCAGCAAAAAAAAAACAACAGCTGCACATGTTTCTTTCGGACCCCTCTTTCTATCTGCGTGCAGTCCTTCGATCCCCTAGAACGAGTAACTTGCCATGGAAAGTCGAGTATCTTTTTGGCGGGTTTCCCATGACGTCAACCCAAAACGATGGGCCTTTTCCATGTTGATCTTTTTGGTAACCCTCCATGGAGGTACAGTTCTTTATCTTTGGTCAACCCCATCCTCGGACCTTTCGAAATCCACCCCGCACTGGGCGAGAAAAAGCTGACACACATCCACTGTTTTTTTCTCTGACACTATCCCTATGCCCGTTCAAAACATAGGTGTCCTTTTAACTACGGGAAATAGATGGCACCAAAAAAAACAGGAATCGCCATCTATTGTTTTTACCAAAACAACCAAAAAGGACCCCCATGGTTCGAAAATCCAGGGGGCGCTTCCGATCAATAATCACAGCTCGAGAATTCCCGGGGCCTGGGACTGCTTCAAGACCGTCTTGTAGTCCTCGATGTGCGTACTCACCATGCCCTTGGGCCTGGCGCAACGGGCCGTTTTCGGCTCAGGTCCACCCCCAAGCCTGCGGTTTGAGCCCCAACGGGAAATGACGCCAGGTTTGGGGGTGGATAAAACTGGACCCCCCCCTCTTTTTTTCCCTCCGCGTCTGTGCATCTCTTGCAAGAAAAGAGACTTGTGCATGAAGGGACGTAGAACACGGTTTGCTCCCAGGCATATGCATCCGGTGTCCAATCACAAAGCATAGGCTGCATGTTTTGGGTGACAAAGATGGAAAACAAAGCGGTTTTGGACCGGGGCCCGTAAAAATCGAGAGTGCTCCTCATCTTTCCCTTCAAAAGCAGATCAAAAAAGGGTACCCTCAGAGGCGCACATGTTTTGGGGAAGCTGCTGACTGGGGCCCAGGCACGGCGCCCGTCTCCTTTAGCACCGTCTTGACGCGCTTCATGCAGAAGTAGCCTCAGATGAGCGCACCTGGGGAACTATCTGCACAAGAAAAACAATAACTTCAAAAGCTGATTTAAGAATTATATCCCCAAGTACAGGACCTGTATCGTGAGCTTGCTATAGACGTGAGATCGCAAAAAAAAGAAGAAGCAGAACTATATGCGTGGTTGCCCCAACAGCAAAAATACATAATTCACAATTTGCGAATCCCTGCGTCATAAACGAACAGCTTTCGAAACCGATGCACAGGATTTTC